CGTGGCGGGCCACGCGGGTGCCGGGGCGCCGCGGAGCACATGGCCGCATGCATGGTGCAGGCCACCAGTCCCCTCCCCGCCACCCCCTATGGCTTCCCCTCCTAGTCCCTCCATGGGCCCGAGAACATAGGGCGCTGGGACCTCTAGGGCAGCCAAAGCCTCATGAAGAACCAGAAGCAGGCACTAGTCCAAGCCCTATCCTTGAGCCCCCTCTCCCACCACTCCCCCATTCCAGGTTCTTTCCCCAGTCCCTCCCCTGTAATATACCGCCCCAATAAACGGTCCGGGTGTTTCACAAATGAAGACTATTTTATTTGCTCTGCGGGGAGGGAGGGGGGAAGGAAAGGGATGGGTGGGGAAGGAAAGGCACACAGAGGGAATGCAAGGGCCCATTGTGGAAAGGTACAGGGGAGAGTCTCACAGCTAGTCTTGCATGAAACTCTCCCTCAAGGCCTCTCTGATAAGGACAGCCCCTTGATGTGCTCTTCGAATGGCACTAGTGTCTGGATGCTCATATAATCTCCCCAGCCATTCAGCTTCTGTCCCCCACCCTGATAGGAAAGTCTCTCCCTTGCTGTTACATAGGTTGTAGAGCACACAGCAGGCCACCATCACAAAGGGGATATAGCACTCACTGAGATCCAGGCAGGTGACGAGATTCTGTAAGCTCCCCTTTAAATTCACACTCCACCACCGTGCAGCATCTGCTCAGCCTGGTGTTGAAGTGCTCCTTGCTGGGGTCCATGCTGCCTGGATGTAGGGCTTCATGAGCCATGGGAACCAGGGGTAGGCTGCATCATTCAGGATGCAGATGGGCATGGCCACCTCCCCAACTCTGATGGTGTGGTCAGGAAAAAAAGTGTCAATGTGCATCTTTCAGAACAGGCAAGAATTCCAGAAGATGTGGGCATCATGTGCCTTCCCTGACCATCTGATGCTGATGTTGGTGAAGTGTCCCTTGTGATCCACAAGGGCCTATAGCACCATGGAGAAGTACTCTTTTTTGTTTATGTAGACTGAGGCATGGGGATTGAGGCTAAGCTATCCACAATAGTGTCCATGTTGCCCAGAGTGATGACCCTCCGTAGAAGCACATGGTTGATGGCCAGAACACTTCCAGGCAGGAGCGGCAGCAGCTGCTCCTAGAGCACAACGGAACCGCTGATGCTGCTCTGCTGGGGATGCTTTGTCCCGGCAGGAGAGGCATCAGCTGTTCCGTTGCTCTCTACAGTAGAGTCAGTATCATCCGACATATTCGGTAATCTGACCAAGTGTCGGTCCCGTTTAGGTCAGATTATAGGGACTCTACTGTACATATTGTGTGACAAGTGGGCTATTCAAATGTGGCTATCATAATGAGCAATTAGAATGTATACACTCCTTTATATATTAGAAGCTCTCTATTAATATTCATTAAAATCCATAAAAAATGCTAAATGAGGGCAAATAATTTAGACTTACCCACATTTAATCTGCCTGTGATTTCACCATCTGAATTACGAGCATTCACAGTCACATTATGAGCAGACTGTAGAAGTAGTGATGAATCCTACCGTATCAAGAAAGATTTGCACATTTAGCAGAACAAACATATCTCAAAACAATGTATATAATTTATCATTGTCATGTATATTATTAATAAAGTAATTACAAGGGCCTTTGTAATAGAAAACCAGCCAAAGTGTGAAGTCTCTGAATGAATATTTTGTGTTTAGAGCACTCATTTAATTGACAGATGTAACAAAATCCAGAAAACCTAATTATTTGTTTAAGCCTTCAACACACTGATACACAGCAGAAATGGACCCAAATTACCATCCTTAATTCAAGCACTCTTTGAACTGTGAACATATTCAGATCTGGAGCTGGCCCTTGCCTCTATACTCAGTCTAAGAGGGTATGTCTACACTACAGCATTAATTCAAACTAACTTAATTCAAATTAGTTAATTCGAACTAAGCTAATTCAAATTAGTGCATCTAGAACTAAAAACTAATTCGAATTAGCGTTTTGCTAATTCAAAATAGCATGTCCACATTGAGTGGACCCTGAACCGAAGTTAAGGCTGTCCGGAACCAGTGCCGGCAGGGCATCAGGTTAGGACTTAGAGCGTGGAACTGCTGCTTCAGGCTAGCTGAGGGCTGTGCTTAAAGGGACCCTACCCCCACCCCGGACAGACAGCTCTCAGGGTTCCCCGCTTGCTTGTCTACCTCGAGGAGGGACAGCAAAGCAGTCCTGTCTTGGAGTGCCCTGAGTGCCCACACTCGGCACATCACAGCACTTGGCCATCAGCCCGGCTGCACTTGCTGCAGGCTGCTATCCGGGGGGTTTCAATAGAAACAGTATCCCCCCCTGTCAGTTTCCAGGAGGCCCTGTGGGAGAGTGTCCACCCTAAGGGGCACTCAGAGCCTCCCTGGTCTGCTCACTGGGGACTTGTGCCTCATTCCTCCCTGACATCCTTTCACATATCCCTCCCTAGCCCCCCTTCCTAATGTCAAATAAATTACACGTATTTTCAAACATATCAACTCTCTTTATTTAACAAAACTGTGGTGGTGGGGGGGGAATGAAACTCTGGGGAGACTGGGGAAAGGAAGCAGGAGAAGGGAGGAGAGAGGGTGGGAGAGGGGAGGAGGAAAACTGAGAGGAGGAAGCTGGAAGGGGGAAGCAAGGGGAAGCAATGGGAGGGGATGCTCAGGGCTCAGAGGTGGGGGTCTCGCTGGGCCAACTGTCTCCCAGCATGGCGGGTGCAGGGGCCTCGGCATCCCCGGGGGTTTGGGGAGGAGGATGTGGAGGTTGATGAGGGAGAGGCGGCGGGAGGGGGAGAAGGAGGGGGAGGAGGAGCAGGAGCTGGGGAGGCAGCAGGTGCTGGAGCGGCACAAGGCAGCACACTATGCACCAGGGTCTGCAGATGGGCACAGGTGGCATGACCCTGGGCAAGCAGCTCCCGCCGGAATTCCCATTCGTCATGCACCCACTGCTCCATGGTGCGGTGCAGGGCTTGCAGGGCCCCCAGCTGCTGGTCTCGGTACCCCTGCAGTGTTGCGGTGAACCTGCTGACCACTCAGGTGCGGGAGGAGTTCCCCGGGGGGGTGGTG